TGAAAGCGCAACAATGCAAGAGCGCATTAAATACAATTTTGTTTTATTCATAAAAAAGTGTAAAATGCTTTTACTTTCACAAAGCTATTAGAGTGAGATTTTAGTGTTTTGCTAATTTCGACATAATGCGATTTTATCTCAAATTTTTACATTTTTACAAAAAATAACTACTGACTGCAGTCATATAGAATATAATTGGTTGACTCTGGCCGATTTTGTAAACATTTATGTAGGGTAAAGCCTACCAGGGTGATAATTCGAAAATTGATGGACTAGTTCCCATATACTGTTGAAAAGCTGGCTAAGTATTTACAAATAACACCATGTAAATAGAATAATCGCATTACAACATTCACACTAGCAATTTTGAAAAAGAGTTGTCGGCTTAAAACTTTTGATTGCATGTGTTTTATAATTTTGTACACCACTGTAAGCATTTTCAAGTAATTTTATCGTTAATTACAAATGAAAGTTTAATCGCGATCGTGTGTTTTATGTACAAATTGCATGTTCTTGCAATATTATTAGTGTTATTTTGACTTGCCACAAATGATGTGCGGCATTGAAGGAACCCATCTTAAACGTGTAGATTTTATTTTTTTTGTGCGGCAGTTCTTACCTCGTCTACATCTACACGATTCTTTTAATTTAAAATTTTCTGGTGCTAATAGTGTTGCATGCTACCTGCCAGACTTATATGTACTCGCACAATGCATGCATGCATGCAACTTTCCAGTCCACTCACAAATTTGTTAAATTATTTAGCATTGAATAAATTTATACGCCCACCCATCACCCATTGCCAGCATTTCGAATATAAACTATTACCCCCACTCTGCACACAAATGTTTGCACGTGCAACTATGCGGCGTTATTAACTGTAACGCCATCTCAGCTGCAACACATTGTTTGCACATTTCAGCTGCATGAGCAAGTATATATGTATGTACTACGTATGAATATTTGCTTATGGCTTTCTGCTGCTTTTGTATTTACTAATTTGTGAATTTCTGAAAATTTTTTGTGCCTTAAATGCCATGTAAAGTTTAAGTGGGCATTATTTTGACACCATTTAATTCTGTATCAAATTGCTGAATTGGGAATGCTTAAATATATTTTAATTTGTTTCGTATTGTTTTTGTTAATTATAAATAGTCTTAAGATAAGACAGATAGACAAGGATTGCACAGTGACCTTAGAGATTGTGTTGTTAAAGTCCAATATACAAGTGCTGTGATCCTTGTTAGGAAACGTGGATCGCAGGGCCTTTATACTATGCAGTCGATTAGCAGGTGTTCTGGAGTTTCCGGCTCCCTGTCGCCGGGCCGACCTTTTTCGCAAGAAGCTAGGCGCATTTATATATGTTCTTCGTCAGCTTGCAGTGGTCAGTGTAGAATACGACATACACTGTGCCGCCTGGCTGGTTAATATTAAAGAATAATATTCTTTAAATCCAAAAATAAACTCTACACCTTTTTGGCTTTTTACATTTCTATCAATATTTCAAAATAATTTAAGCTTTTCCTTAAATCGTATAAACTCTAGCTGTGTACTCTAGTAAAGTTTGGGATTACTCTGCCATTATACACATACGAATCAAATAAACCTTCAAATAAAAGAGAGGAAAGGAAAAGGCAATAATGAAATGGTTCGATGTGCCCTCGTCAGCACAATCATATAACGCCTATAGCCAGCGAACGCATCAGTACAAACACAACAACAAAGGTATGAATAGACAGTTGGGCGAATAAACAAGGTCGCAGTGACAAATGGCTGCTGACACTTGATGGTTTCAAAGTATGTGGTAAATGCTAAAAAGCACCGGTTTCCAACGATTAAAAATATACACATGTGCAACCAGTAGGAAACTGGCACAAACAAGTTTATACGGCGAAATTGGTGCAACTTCAAATAAGGGGTAGTTGCAAAGTAGTTCTTCCGTGAAAAAAAAAAAATCTTTCATCAAAAAATGTACTAAAACCCATGCTATTGTATTCATTTTAATAAATATTCAAATATGGTAGTACAAAACGTGTTGCGAACAAAAGTACTTTCGTCATATTGAAAATCAGAAAAAATATTCAAAGTAAGAAAGTGCCCATCTGGAAAAAACAAACCCAATGAAACCAGTTAGTGACTAGTTCAATTTTTGATGACTAAAACTGTTTACAAGCACACCATACATATAATAACAGTATGCAAGGTGAAGACCAAGAACAAGTATGCAGTAAGTGTGATTACCAGCCACGCGCTCTTACTCGCTGCCATTCGTTCAGCAGCAGATTGATACACTTGTACATTTCGTAGTTGTTCGCTTTATTCGCAAAATGACGTTAGGAAAATGTCAACAAGTAAAGGCCGTTTACATTTACATTTGGTCCGGTTTGATGGTGATCAAGTTGTGTTGCTTTAATGCTCATATTTATGTACGCCAAGTGGGCGCCAACAATAGCCGGCCGGTAAGTCTGTGAAAAGCCAACGCCAAGTTTTCATATATTTAGCAAAACATAAAAAATAAAAAATAAAAAAAAACAACAAATTTACATACATATGTATATATTAATTTAAGACAACCCGTTATGCGGGGGTACATACATAGTACATATGTCGCTTTCTCATATTTGATTTTGTCTGAGTTGTTGGGTGAAAAGATTTGACAAAAGCTTATCTAAATTGCAAAGCAAAACAAAAAAATACTTTAAATAGAAGAAAGTTCTGTAGCTAACTACATGTTTGGCACATTCTTTGGACATGTGTAAATTATCGACGTTTAGATATAAGTTACTTGTTTTTAACATCTTATACTTCTTAAACGTGAACGTTAAATAATATCGCAAATAATTGTCGCACTATAAATATGAAAAAGAAATTCAAATTTAAACGGAACACACCCAGGCGTGCAATAACAGGTCCATAAAAATTATCAACAATTTCATTTACTATGTAGCAAAAACGTCTCTCTTTAATGCTCATAACTTTTAAATACTTGTGCTTATAATAATCTATAAGCAAGTTAGTAAGTACAAATGTATGTATGTGGAAACGAAATTCCAAGGAATGAAAATAAAAACAACAAAGTGTTGGAGAACATTTTCTGTAGGTGCAATATAGGACATGTATGAACATATAAATGTACATAAGGGTGTCAACGGTTACGGTTACAAAAATGGTTACTTTTTTTTTGCCAAAGTCAAAGTAATCACATAAGCACGTTCCAATGCCGGACACAAAAACTACTTAGGTACTATGTTTTTAAATTACCTTCGGTTAACGGACAAGATTTTGTTAAATCTATAAAACAAAAAGCTACAATATAAGTTCCCGTTATTTTATTTTTATTAATTTGTGGAATTGATTTTTTTTACCAATAAATTTGGAAAAGTAAAATCATTTAGCAAAGTTATAAATTGAAAACAAAAAGCTTTTTATGTTGGATCCCTTTTTTAGTAAACAATCTGAAATGCCAAGGCGTTTGCCAAAAAAGGAAACAATGAATAAATAACGGATACCCTAATGTATATGCAGTGACGCTGATTGCGTGACGTTGCTTTTTTTATAGCCAATTTTTGCGGAAATGAAGTAGTAAGAGGCGCACATTGTGCTTTAAGAAAATGTTATACAATGAGATAGTGGAATTCCAAACAAAAATACAGAAATATGTGGAAATTATATAAACATATATTATATATACTTAGGAATACACATTCATACTATATAAAAACGTATTGAAAACAAATGATCAATTAAACCTCTATTCACAATGTATTATTTCTTTTTAAAGTGTGGATTTTTGCACAGTGTGGAATTTTTTGTAATCAACTATTAAACAAGTTTAAATGAACACCCCCTTGACAAAAACTGACAACAATATCGATTTACTTATTACGATCCATTTAGGAAACAAAAAATGTCAACAAAATCGATTTCCTTTTTTCAATACAGTTAGGAAACTAAAAAGGTATACTTATCAGAAGTACATACAATAATTTAATTGACTGCTACTGCTTATACATATGTATATCATATAAAACATTTTACCGATAAGCGGCTATGTGTAATCATATTTTACAATTTGAACGATATGTGAAGAAAATGTGTTGAAATACAAAAGAGAAAAAGGAATATATGAATAATGGTTACAATTTGTAATTATAGGTTTGTAATATTAATTTATAGAAGCACAAACTGAAAGCTTTGTAAGTTTGTAAGACAAACAGAGCAGAATAGATTCCGCAGTAAACTCGGTAAAGAAATGAAAGGAAATCTTAGTTGTTTTAAAATAGTATCAAAACAAATATATAACACAAAATATATATAATAACATGAGCAGGTTTTCTTTCATTGGAGTTTACTGAAGCGATCATAAGCGAATAACAAGATTAATGAAATGGAAAATGCAATTTAACATATTTAAAATACACATGAACGTGAATATATAACTGATAGGGAAGAAAAATAATATTTAGCAAATAAAGAAATATAATTTATGTACATGTAGATGACAGTCTAAATAAACCAAACTAAAATGCATGTTGTTGTTGTTGTTGTTGTTGTAACGATTATCAGTCCCCGTTGGGATGGTGAGGGTTATCAGTGTTGTCGTCGATGTCATC